TTACATCAGGTTTTATGCCCTTCCTAATCATAGAATAAAAAATCTTTCTCGCTTTTGTGCATTTTCTGTTTTTGCAAAGATAGTCCAGTAGCAAGCCATAAGTAACAATATTTGGGTCAAGACCACGTCCATACATTTCTTCGAGCCTTCGAACCACCTCTTTCCACTGTCATGTAGAGAGGTATCCATAGATCAGGCAGGTACATGTCTGGATGTCCGGCTTAACACCCTTATCAATCATCTGCTGAAGGACACCCTCAGCCCTGTCAACTGCTTTAGCTTTGCACATGCCATCAATGATCGTGTTGTATGTCGCAACATCTGGTGTGTAGTTTCCATCTCCATCATCAGCCATCATGTGCAGCAGGTCAAGTGCCTCCTCGGTCCTCTTTTCATTGCAGAAACCCTTGAGAAGCGTGTTGCAGGAAACTACATTCGGCATGCAGCCAAACTCAGGCATTTGTCGGAGTAGTATGTCCATGGCCTCGTCGACCCTCTTGGCATCACAGTCCCTTGAGCAACTGACCGATAACTACTTGATTCACCCTCCAGCCCGTCTTAAGGTCTTAAGGATGAGGCCAAAAGCGGCGAAGCCATGCTCCAGGCAACCCATGCGACAGAAAGAGCCAATGAGGATGCTATATGTGTACAGGTATGGACGCACCTTATTGGAGCAGGCAGTGGCCATCCTGTTGAAGAGGGAGACAGCGAGCGCGGAGGCTGAAGAGCATTGGGCGCGAGAGACGACGTTAAGCAGGTTGTTGAAAGCACCAACCGAGGCGAGCCTGGCGAGGGGCAGCAATTGATCGAACAGCTTGAGCGCGTCGTCGAGGCCGAGGTTCCCCGACCTGGCACGGCCAACGATGACGCGCTCCAGCTCCAGGCACCGGTCGCAGGCGGCGCTCGCGCGGCGCGTCATGCCGACGGAGGGCCCACGCGCTCGGCTACTGGCCCGCCGCAGAGAGGCACGGACAGCGCTGTGTCCGCCTCCGGGATGGGTGTAGCAGAGCAGCTTACGTGAGGTGGGTGGAGCCGCGAGTGCTGGATGTGGAGGATGTGAGCGTAGTAGCTGGAACACCGGCAGGCGGCAGCGGCCATGGGGGTACGGACCTAGATGACGTAATTCGCTGATGATATAATACTACAGCCAAATGACAATAAAATAGTTAGGCAGACGGATCTATTAGTTTCTTGCTGATTCGGAGCGGGAAGAAATCTTGTTTACTTTATTGAGTATAGTACATAAAAAAGCTAGATCAATGTTTCTCTTAGTGCCATGATGTTCTAAAAAATAACATTATTTATTTATCAAGTAATATAGAGACGTTTTTCCTAAAACATTCTTTGGTTATTAAACAAAATCAAGAACCAAGCTTACAAACTTATATTATTACGATGGTTTGGAAGGAAAAGGAGTTAACTTTAAAAAAAACTGATTAATTCGTTGTCATTTTTATCTTATATCTGTGTCGTGTGTATTGATCATTTTGGGTTCCCGGGCTAAAGAAGACAGAGTGCTAGTATAGGGCTACAGGCTATTTCCCTCTTGGATGAGCACTTGATCTTTAAATATTGCTATTTGATAAAGTGTACTAGGTATATAATATATATACTTCTTGTTTCTACAAAAATTTTGGGGTACAGCTGTACCCCCATGCACCTACTAGATTCGCCCCTGGCGGTGGCGTCGTGGGGGGGAGTCCGGCAATTTTTCCTGCGCGCGTGGCTCCAGGCCCAGCTCTCGTTCCCGCCCGCGCGCTTCTGGCCCAACTCGGTTTCCCGCCCGCATGTGTGCGCGCTCTTAGCTTCCCGTGACCTGGCCCGTTCCAGCTACAGATCTTGAAAAATAAATAAAAAAAAGGCAAAAGTAGCCAGGGATAGGATTCGAACACAAGACCTGCTACTTCAGAGTTGTCACTCTCAATCACTACACCATACAGATGTTTATGATAATTGTATAATAGTTTTATTATTAAATACACTGAACCATTTAAACTCAAAAAATAGTATCCAACCACCATAAGAATAGTATTTTATACTAAAAATACCACAAGACATTTCATGAAACATGGAAAAAATATAAGCAACGAGGAAAACAAATAAGAAAAAAGGCAAAAGACAAAAGGAAAAACTCATGTAACAGTAGAAATAAAATATACTTAAACATCCAAAAATGTATCATAGAACATCATAGGTATACTACACGAACATCACATGTATACAGCGCGAATATTACTTGTGCACATCCAAAAGAACCATATCAAACCAAAAAAATATCACACACCATCCAGAAAATATATATCGTGAAACATTAGACTTATACTATATGCACATCTAGAAATATATCATAGAACATCGCATGTATGCAGAATATCACAAAAATACAACATAGAACATCACATGTATACCATGTGAACATTAGAAAAAAAAATCTAGAACATCACATATATACTATATGAACATCACAAAAATATAACACAGAACATCACATGTATATTATGTGAACATCACAAAATACATCATAGAAAATCATATGTATATTACGTGAACATCACATGTATATTATGTGAACATCACAAAATGCATTATAAAACATCACATGTATACTACGTGAACATAAAAAAATAGAGCATAAAACATCACATGTATACTGCGTGAATACCACAAAACACATTATAGAACATCACATGTATATTACATGAACACCACAAAATAAATCAAAGAACATTACAAGTATACTACGTGAACATCTCACATACAACATAGAACATCACATGTATATACTACGCGAGCATCACAAAATACATTATAGAACATCATTGTATACTACGTGAACATCAAAAATACATCATAGAACATTATTATATACTACGTAAACATCATAGCATCTTATATAGTACTAAGATTTAAAAAGTAAGCATGAACAATAAAATAATTAATTAGAGTAAAAGAGAAAATAAAAAACCTATAGAGAACATAAAGACAAAAGGAAAAAAGAAAAAAGAAACAAAACAAAAAAAGAGTAAAAACATAAAAAATAAAATAAAAAACAAATTAATCAATTACAATAAAAATAAAAAAATAAATAAAAGAAAGGTAAAAAATTAAAAAAATAATAACAATTCACATAAAACAAAAATAAAAGATAAATTGATGCACGAAAAATACAAAGGATAGGAAAAAAATAAAGAAAAATAACAAGAAAAAGAAAAAAAGGAAAAAAAAAAGGAAAAAAATGAAAGATTAAAAATGAAAAACATGAATCAAAATAAAAACATAATTAGAAAATAAACAAGAAGTAAAAAAATAGAAAAAATAAAAAAGTGAAAGTAAAACCACAGGAAAAAAAAAAGAAAAAAAAAGAAAGGAAACACGTACTGCCTACCTGCTGGCACCAGAGAATCCTGCATCTGAGAACCCAGCGTAGCTCGGGTGGCAAGGCCTGGTGGTTGGGACCTTGCTGGCCGGAATTCGAGCCCCGTGGCTACGAATTTCCGGTCTCTCATCGGGGTTCGCCCCCAATAATATTATGTTGCCTCTCGTGTGAAGCTACAAAGGGTATGCGACGCACCTCGTCATCTACAGATCCATGGTTTGACCCGGTGATCTCACAAATGACGTGATCTAGTGATTTGAGTATAGTTGTAGGTTTGTTTGTGTACACGTGATGTGAGTGTAGTGTGCGTATGTAGGGTTGGTGTGAGTCTGTACATAAGTAGATACTACAGCTGTACCCCGATGAGAGAAAAAAAAAGAATTCTGCATCTAGCCAGTTTGCGTGCAGTCAGTCTGCATCCAGCAGAATCATTTGATCTGGGCCGCATGCTAATGGGCCGTCGCGTTCGAGCGAGCGGCGGAAGCGCGGGCGAAGCGGGATCGGCGCAGGAATCCTCTGCGCGGGAAACTATTGGCCCGCGGTTCCGGACCGGAAGATTTCCGGCATCGTGGGGGCGCGCGGGTTGGGCACCGGGCGCAAGTGCCAGTGGGGGTGGCGGCATGGGGGCGCACTGGGAATTTTTTTAATTTTAACACTTTTTGTAAACTAATTTTAAATCTAACATGGTTTGTTAAAATTAGTTTATAGACAGTGTTAAAATTAAAAAAAAATCGCACTGGGCGCTCAGGCTCTGTTTCGTTTTTTCCTCAACACATTCACACGACACGTACGGAGAACGTACTCCGGTTTTAATCAATGTAAATGGATTTAAAAAACTTTTTCTGAGAAGCAACTTTAAAAGTTAGGTAGCATTTGCTTAAAAAGCAAACAATTTTTTTGAAAAAAATAGTTTCTTAAAAACGAACCTATTTTTGTTTAAGCTTCTCACTAAACTCAAACAAACACAGCCAAAATGAAGAAATGTTATTTCTTTGCATGCAGATAGATGTACTGCTCCCTTTCAAATTCGCGAAATATTTGGCAACCGATAACGCTACGTTTGGAGTGCACCACCGGTCGACGCCACTAAAATTAGGGACGGAGGTCGCCGCCAGCCAGGGTGGTAGCGGAAGGGTTAGGAATTTAGGGTGAGGGCAGGGATTCAGGGTTCTTAGGGTACCTCCATTGCCAACAGCCTTAGAAGGCAAAGGGGGCCTCGGAAGATGGTGGCAAGTTGAGGGGCGACGAGTGAGGCGGTTATGGAGAGCAGGGTGACCGGTCGTTTCTTCCTCCTTCAATTGAGATTAGTGGGGCGGGATGGGCAGGCGGTGAAGAGAAGGCAGAGCTGGCTAGGACGGTGGGCGAGGAAGGCGGGCAGGCGCAACGAAAACGACGGGGCCACACGCTTATGTAAGTTGTGACTCATCGCGCATTAACCTCCTCCTTATTTCAAATTGTAAGATGGAGTTACAGGCAGAATTGCGGATAGACAATATAAGGAGTTATGATCATGCTTGCTGGTATGATCATGCTAGTGCACGCACACGCGTAGTTATTTACTATGAAATAATAATAAGCACACGCACAAATCACAGTGGCTGCCTCCTTCTCCAGTTCCCCTTGCTCAGTTGCTCTTGGCCTTGGTGTCCTGCTGCCCCAGGAAGGGCGCGTCAGCGTTGGCGTCGCTGCAGTAGAGGCAGGGGTGCTGCTGGAACCCCTGCTCACCGAGCACCTCCCTGGCGCGGCGCACCACCTCCCGGTTGCTCATCGGCGCCGGGTGTGCCGCCAGCACGGCCTGCAGCGCGGCGCTGAACGCCCCGCACGCCCTGCTGTCGATCGCTGCGTCGTCGTCCCCCGCCACGTCCACCGACGTCTCGTCCGTCTGGCACCCGCTCAGCAGGATCCCGGCGTCGTCAGGGCGCGCGGCGCCGCTGCTGTTGCCGTCGTGGTTGCGGCGGTGGAGGAACTTGGCGCTTGCGTCGGCGCCGAAGAGAGCGAGCAGGTGGTCGGCGACGTGGTGCGACGCGCCCACACCCGACGCGCCGGACAGGTGGCCGAGCACCGCGGCGTACGGGAGGAACCGGCCGGCGTGGATGGCGTGGGCGTGGAGGTCGGGGTCAGCGGCGGCGGTGGGGACGATCTGCTCCTTCTCCTGGTCGATGAGGCCGCCGCTGTGGCACGAGTCGGACACCATGGTGAAGGTGGCGCCCCGCGGCACGCGGTCCACCAGCTCCCGGAAGTCCACGTCTGCGTGGCGTGCGTGTGCATGCAAGCATGTCAGTCAGCTCAGAGGTCAGGTCAACGACGACGTACGCGCCATGCGATGGCCTCGTAGACACGGACCTGTGATGAGGTTGAAGTCGCAGGGCACGATGGCCTCGTCGTCGCGGCCACCATGGCCGCGGCGTGGCCTGCCGCTGACCGGCGGGACGAGCGTGCCGTGGCCGCTGAAGTGGAAGAAGAGCACGTCCCCGGGCGCCGCGCGCGCCACCATGTCTGACAGCGCGCGCCTGACGCCGGCGCCGGTCGGGAGCACGCCGCCGCCGCGGTCGTCGTCGGTGAGCACGGTGACGTCGCCCGGCGCGAAGCCGAAGCGGTCGAGGAGGACGGCGCGCATGGCGTGGACGTCGTTGATGCAGCCCTGCAGCTCGTACTCTGTGCCGGCGTAGTTGCAGCCCACCAGGGTGGCCAGCATCTTCTTCTTCGCCCCGGCTGCCTCCATTGTTGTCCTCTTCTTCTAGCTCTAGCTCGACCTCTGGTGTGTTTCAGTTCAGTGAGAGACCGATGTCTGCCTCCATGCATTATATATAAATAGGCTTGGTGATCACCGGTGTTGAGTAGTTGTAGTTGAGTACCCGCGTTGTCTTCGTTCGTTCATCTGTTGCTTGTCTTGTGGATGCAAGATAATAAGGAAGATTTGCCTTTGGACTTTGGAGTAAAGCAAGCAGCTGGACTGGACTGAGGCTGGCTTGCTTTCACGCACGCACTTGCAGGGAGATGAGATGGATGACCCATCACGCACAAATTCATCTGAACAAGGCAAAGACGTACGTAGCTAGGGACCAGTTTAGTTCCACTTTATTTTGCAAAAAATTTCAAGATTTTCCGTCACATCGAATCTTTGGACGCATGCATAAAGTATTAAATATAAATAAAAAATAAAACTAATTACACAGTTTAGACGAAATCCACGAGACGAATCTTTTAAGCCTAATTAGACTATGATTGGACACTAATTGTCAAATAACAACGAAAATGCTACAGTAGCATTTCGCTAAAAACTTTGCAAACCAAACAGGCCCTAAGTGTGTGATGTATGTCTCTCTCTCTTATATATATATAGCTGGCTATAAAATAACTTATTCTATAGTCACTTTGAGTTATGATAATTACTATGTTAATACGAGATATATATATATATATATGGTAAATATTCTATATGTTATATAATAAATATCATAAATATATATATATGTAAATTATATATAAAATTATAAATATATATATAATATTTTATATATATCTGAATATATATATATATATATATATATATATATAAGCTTAAGCACGAATGGTTAGGCGAGAAAGATTTCATAAGGACGATCGACGACTCGTCGTAACGATCGAGAATGTACGTGCAGAAGATAACGAACGAACATCTGTCGTCCATTCATCATCTTGCTGAGACGTCCACTGTTTAGGTCTGTCGATCGGTCGTCAAGAACAATCCTTTGAAAGCCGGGACCTTGCGTGCAAGAAATGAATTTGCAGTCCCGGCAGGCCCCTTCAAGTGTACTATATACATCTATGTCTTATTAATTAGTATAACCTTCTTATTACGTATAGATCAATAAATTAATAAATATGATTCAACAGTAGCCAGTTTACATTGACTTCCGAAATAAGATCACTAAGACATTGCTTTTTTTTTTTGGTCTGTCTAGACAACTGTTGATAGATTTTTCAACCTCAAGTCTGTCAGATTTTGGCCCAATAAAAAATAGATAGCTCAGCAGAAAAAAAAAACTGACAGATACTGGACAAATAAATCTGTCAAATTCAATATAAAAGAAAAACAACCCATAACGGGTTTTCCAAACCCAAGATCCACTAACAGAACATAAACCTACATGTAATTTCCAATTCATGATGGCAGCTGCAAAGTCATTCTAGGTAATTCCCAAGGCCTTCAACCTGTAACATTTGCTGAGAATTAACAAACCAAGGCACGAGAACGATTACATAAATACAACTGTATGACTTGTCATATGAAATGGACAGATCTACATGTATATATGGGCAAGCCTTTGTCATACTGAGCATTATGGTTTCTTCCAAGTAGGAAGAACTACTAAACATTATGTCCATACAACTTGAGAAACAACTACAGAACTACATGTGACAAGTTTAGAGGTGATCAAATAAAAGGGTTGCAGTCTGAAATGAGGGGAGTAACACTTGATCAAATAAAAATCTCTAAGTAGCAAACAAGCTACGATATAGCTCAAGCAACTAAGTAGGATGGCAAATATTAAACAAAGCCAATTAATGTAGCATGAAAGGGGCACTTAACAAATGAGATATCAGTGCAAATCACTGTTGTCTCTGCTCACCTGACAAACTGAAACCGACTTGATTAGTACATGATGTTGAACAGGCGGAATAGGAGCAGCAGGAACACACCTGCATGCATCGACATAACACACCATGTGATTCTCAATATATACTCTAGAGGACATAAGGAAAAATTAAAACTTGGTTCCAGTAAAAATCTTGTTAATCTATAGAGCACATGTAAGTTACAGTTCTACTTAGAAATATATATATTGTTCGATTGTGACTTGACAGGACTGAAGCAATTCTTTAATACTCCGTTATGTATCCTCTAAGATAATAGTGCTGCCATCAGAGTAACTTATCTAGCTAACTGAACAAAATCTGCTCTCACTTTGTGAAAGTGCTACTCTAACCGATTAATACAGAAGTGAAGTAATGTCAAAGGCAAGACGAACCAAATAACATTCAATCAATTCCCATACTCATAAAATATTGATATACCAATAACTAGAGTCTGAAATTTTCCTTTCTGCTCGTCCCAAATCCCAGGTGGGCGACTTCATCTGGAGCAAGCAGCACTCTGCACGCAGGAGCACATGTGACAGGTCAAAAACAGAAACCAAAGTCGTGGATGGCTGGACACGAAGACGACGGCACCTATAGTAAAATCAACCTTTTCCTCAAGTACTTGGCAATCATAAGGTAACAAAGCTAACTACGCACATAAAGATTAATAACAACCATAAGATAACAAAGTTAAACCAGCAATCAGTAATGGCAGCGTCCCCCAATCAGTAATGGAAACAAAAAATAATAGCTTTATCCCCCAATCACACAATCAGTAATGGCAACCATAAAGAAAACAACTTTACTATTTACTTCAAAATAAATAAACTGAACAACGCCTTTTGAACTGTACAAAGAACTCAAACAGAGGCCTTGACAAATGAAGATAAGTTACTGAGGAACTAGAAGTACTCACGAAGTTCTGCTTCATTGTTGTAACGGCCAGCAATGATGATGGAAATGGTGGGCGCGACGATGGTGTAGGATCCACCCATCACTGCAGGGGGATGAGTCCCAAAAGAATGACTGGCACAGGTTCTTGATGCCCGGCAATGAACAGCAACATCTGAATCACCCGGGCCTTATCTTCCTAAACAGTCAGACAGAAACAGATAGTTTGAGCCCTTTTGACATTACAATTCACAAACTAGTTGGCTTCCAAAATCTTGGATTCAGAACAGATTGGTTTACTCACGTTTCCACCTCCCATCTGGGGAATAAGAGCACTTGGTATGATGACAGACGTGCTCAGCGTCACAATGTAGTATTGGAATCCAAGGATGACGGCATCAGCTGCATGTTTCAGATTATAGGTCAGGTGACAGGCAACAAGTCAAAATCAGGACCACTACCGGTATCAACAACATCAACATCAGTACACAAAATACATAACAAAAAACCCACAGAGAGAGAAAAGACAGAAAAATCTGACAATAATAGCTAAAAAAACTAAACTCAACTACACCTTCTAATGCCCCTCACAAATCAAATAATCGCCACATCTAAAACTGAACAAATCAATTGTAAACATCACAAATATAAATAAGAAACATCAGTTTGGGTCCTAAAAGGCAAAAAAAAAACACATACAACTTAATCAGCAGCAGGAGCAAGCAACTGCAAAAACAGCAATACCAACTCAATCAGCAGGCTTTGGGGCCCTCAAAGTAGCAGTAGACGCCCACATGCACAGAAAAAAAAAAAAACACACACACACACACAAAAAAAAGAGAGAAAGAGTAACAAACACACACCGGCAGAAAAAAAAAAGACATCAATACAAATCTGAACAAAGTCAACTCTAAACATAAGTGGAGATAAAAAAAAACAAATTTGGTTTGGGACACTCAAAAGGCCAAAAAAGAAGCTTAATCAGCATTGAGCAGCAAAAAGAATCAACTGCAACAACAACAGTAGCACATCAAATTAGCAGGCTTTGGGGCCTTCAAAATGCAAAAGACAAATAGCAAGGCCAAAAAGCTTATTCAGTAGTAGCAGCAGACATCAACAGCTGTCACACAGAGAAAGACAGAGAGACATACAAGAGAGATAAACATAACTCAACTCTGAAAATACAACTAATGCCAAAAGAAAAAGAAAAAAGAAATATAAAAATAAAAAAGTAAAAAAAACAGAGCAAAAACACACGCACACAAAAAGAGGGAGAGAGAGGCACACAAAAAGACACACATGCATCCACACACACACAAAGAACACACACAGACATACTCAGAAGGCAAAGGACAAAAACGAACTACAGCTAAAATAAACCCACCTTCAAAGACACACATGCACCCAAACACATAAAGAAAGCTCAAACACACAAAGAAAATCCAAACACCCAAAAACACCTTCAGCAGCAGCAATAAAATTGAAGCAAAAAAAAAAGCACAAAAGAAAGCCCACACACACCAAAAAAAAAACAGCAGCAACTACAAAAGCAGAAAAAAAACTACAAGAGCAGAAATGCAGATTAGAAGGTTACCTGTGCTTCATAGCCTATCAAGAGGGAAGGTACTTGAGTAATATAGCACTAAAATTCATCGCATGGCAGTTGCATTCCCTCTCCCTTTCTCAAAACAAAGGTATGTGAGTTCATCAATCAGAGGGGAATTTCATCTGAGATTCAAAGTTTTCCCTAATTTGAAACCCTAATAACATTGGCCGGGATTAGAAAACTCATGGCCCTGTGCCAACCTCCGTTAACACCATTAAAAGATCTTCCACTGTTAATTCACCACATGTGACAACTGTTAATTTTTCTCAGTGTGCCACATTGTACGTAAAAATTATTCTCAGAATCACCGTTATTTAATTACTTAATTTATAATAAATTGTGTATAACACGATAAAGTTTCTGCAATTTGGTTTTCCAATGGAATCAGATCGGATTAGATATATTAATTGACACATTCAGGAAGGGAGACACGACAATGCATATGAAATTAATACTCTCATCTCGCCATGATGCTCCCTGTCCGCTAACTCGACAATCGACATGACAAGCAATTTAAGTGAGCATTTTTCAAAGACTTAACCAATCAAGAGAAAAGCTCAGTCGTCAAAAGTATGTTGCTGCCAAACCCTTATTAATTATTT